GGGGTGTTTGGGCCCCGGGGGTCCGGGGGGGGGCCCCCCCGCGGGCGGCCAAGCCGCGCCGCGCTCCCACGGTCCTTTCCCCGGCGCGGCCGCTTCCTCCGCTGTCGGCTATGAAATGATGCCGCTTAACAGCCGAGAAACGGCAAAACACAGGCGGCTGGCGCTGGGGTGAGGTCTCTCTCCCGTATTTCCCCCGTGGCCTCTCCTGCCCGGCTCCTCGCAGGGCTGAGCGCTCCCGACACGGTAAATCCCGACAGGATTTTACCTGAGGGTTGAGTAACCCAGCACGCAATCCGCATGACTTCTAAGGAATGCTGTAAGCGGATGGGAGTGTCTGCCTTGGGAGGGTTGCTTGGCCTTGATGGGTCCACCCCATTGCCCTGCCCTTGGTCCTCCGCCGAGGCCACCCCAGGCTCTCCCTTGAAGAGCACTTGTCCTGCTGCCACGCCACGTTGCACCGTGCCTACACCTTCTCGTCATTGCACCGCTCCCTCTGCGTCAGCTAGGCGAGGCTTCGGGCACGCCGGAGGTACCGCTCGGCACCCCTGCACAGCCCTTGCTGCCTCCAGCCCCGTGTGCGAAGGGATGATGGACGGGGACAGCAAGGGATGGCAGCCAGGGCACGGGGCAGCGCAGGTGCTCAGGTGGCCCCTGCCTCTCCCTCTCGTCCCAGCAATATCAGGATTGCAGCCGTCAGCACAAGCCCACAGAAACGTCCCGCGCCCCAGTTTGATAACAAATACAACAGCAGAATCAGAAACAAACACAACAGCAGAATCAGATAACTGTGTGGCACCTTTCTGCCCTGCCCATATCACTGCCTGTCTTTTGCCAGAACACCAAGAAGTTCAACCTCTTGGCAAACACCAGTGAAACAGAAAGGCAATTTTTACAGCTTCTGTATTATCACTATGAATTTTGCACCCATGTCAAAACAAAACAAGGAGTACAAGCCCTCAAACGCCAAGCAGGGAGAAGTTAGTTTAATCCTCTGAACTCCTTGCTGGAGCTGCAGCCGGGTTTTTTGGGTAGAGAATATGACCGGTGCAGGAATACTCGGGTCGTCCGAGGGAAGGTTATACCTGGAGAGGGGCACGCACCTGCCCCAAGGCTGCCCTGGTACCGCCCGGGGTGGCAACGGGCCCCGCTCCAGCAGCGGCACCTCGCCTGCGTCATCGCAGTTCCCAGGAAAGGCCCGGCACGCTGCTGGGGACAGCGGCGCAACCTCAGCAGCAGCAATTACCCGAGCAGCTGATTACATCCGCCAAACAATGAGACTGCAAAACGATTTCAAGGGCTCTATGAGAAGGTTTGATTAATAAATAAATAAATAAATAAAAAGCCAGGGTACTAGTATTACTTATTTTATATTCCTTTTTCTTACAAACAGCTTTACTATAAATACTGCAATTTGCATACTTGTATCTGCACACTAGTAAAGGAACCTCAGTAAAAAAGTCACTTAAAAAAATACGAGTAAATCTTGCAAAATTGTGCAAAGAAGGTGTTTACTACGAAATTATTTTCCTAGTGGAAAGAAACGTTTACTGAATTTTTAAAGCCTCACTTTAAGAGTTGCAAAAATATTTTTTTTCATACTGACACAAACAAAAAAGTAGGCACTGAGCCAACACGGAGCTGACTTTGAAGTATGTTTGATTTTCCGGCTTCTTTACAAAGAAATTCTTGAGTGTGGAGTCAAACGTTTGATTTCAGGTTGCCTTCCTGCACTTAGAACTTCATCCCGACAAGGTGAGGAGTTAGCGTAGCAACTCCCCCTTCTCTCCAACCGGCTTTGTGCCGCTAAGGATGCCACAGCCATCGGCATTTATCCTGCAACAGGGAAACAAGCAGTTAATCGGGGTTAGCTGCTGCATGCTGCAGACCCTTGGCTTTGGCAGGAGTGACCTTTGCAGACTCTGGTTCATGGCACCTTAGCCCCGAGCTGCGGTGACCCGAAGGACGTTTTGGGTGCCCCCGCGCAGGTCCCTACCGTCGGGTGCCTGGTGCCGGCGCTGGCACAGGTGCGCGTGGGTGGGCGCCGCGCAGACGGGGCAGACGTGGCAGCCGGGGCTGCGGTGGGGGACGAGGTGAGCCAGGGTCCCCTCCCCGGCCAGGGGACACACGGGGCAGCCCGCCGTGTCGCTGTGGACAAGGGAGAGGTGCAGCCGGTCGGCGCAGGGAGGGCAGACGGGACCCTGTGGGCTGTGGAGAGAGAGCCAAAGGTGAGCCCTGGCGGGTTTATGTCGGGAACTGCTCCTCGCCAAGCCACACCACACAGGCTCTGGCACCTACAAAAGCTAGTTTCAGCAACAATTTCAAAGATACTAACTTTTTAAACCCAAACAAGTAGTGACTCACAAGTGCAGAACTGAAATGGCTCCTCCAGGGTTAGGGCTAATAGCAAGTGGAACAAGCACTCGCAGGAACAGCATGAAATAAATGGCTGGTAAAAAGAAGTTCATACTTACAAAAGCGAAAGCAGGCGGATGCACACATCAAACCATGTTTACTTTAACCGAAAGTTTATTTGACTTTGCCTCTGTCAGTGACAGAGGAAGCTTTGTGGGCCTGAGAGAGCTCAAGACTCCCACGGGCAGGTGCCAAAAAATAAACTGAGCAACAAGATCACCTCGCTCAGCTCGTCGCTGCTCTGCCCCAAACAAACTAACCGTGCCTAGAGGTGGAAAAAGCACTTGGCAGCGACGTGAACAGAAGGCCCATGCTGCAGGGTCTCTCACAGCACTCAGGCTCTTTTGCTGCTTAATAAAAGACAAAGCTCCATCCCAGGCCAAAGAAGACACGAGGCCGAGCAAAGTGAGGACACCTGAGGAGCACAACCTGACTCAGAGACGCCCAAGGAAACCACACAAGAGTTGTCCAAATAACCATCACACCAGCTTCACCTCTCTTTGCTCGCAAGCAGACACCACACATTTACCCCGATACCGAGCTATAAGCAAGCAGAACCAACATTTACCCCCCCCCATCATTTTTTTATTTTAAGTTACATGGTTAACTCTCAGGTTTGAGGACGCTCGGCGCACACCGCGGTGCCCGCTGCGGAGAGGAGCTGCCTGCACCGGCCGCACCGCACTCACCCCTTGTCCTGCCGGCGGGGCTCCCCCGGCCGCTCCCCAGGCGCCGCAGGACGGCTTTCGCACTGGCCAAGGTGGGCGCGCAGCCAGTTCTCACAGGTGGGACAGACGTGATGGTTGCTGTGGAGAAGCACCGCTGAGGACATGCATCGAGTCTCCCTCGGGAAACTCAAAAATCACCCGTGAAGCTGGGCACCTCCAGCTTCCCTGGTGCTGAGGAACCGTTCCAAGCTGGATGAAAACCTGGAATTAGCTCTAGCACAAACCTCCCCCACTTTGCTAAAATGTGTGGGATGTTTCTATGTCTGTTCTGAAACACACTGCTTCGTAAATCCATACTCTCCTTCTAGCTAGCCCCCCACTTCCCAACCTCACCCCACCAAACCTGCAAACCCAGTTAGGCTCCAGTTCAGCGTTTCTCTCCCAGAGCAGAGAGGGGGAGCGGAGAGGGCAGCTCCGTGCCAGCCCTGCATGCCGAGCGCTGCGGCGAGCACCCGGGCATCGCGGTGTACGGTGCGACTGCCAGAGCGCAACACGAGCGAGGAAATAGGAGAAACACCTGCACGTGCTGAATGCTTTTTAAAAGCACGGAAAGAACAAAGCACAAAAATTGTCCAGAGCGCCTTTGTGTTAGGGGGGAAAAAAGCAGAGAGATTAGCATTTTAAAAGGAATGAAATGCTGTATTACTCAGCACGGTATCGAGACAGGAAAGAAGTGGGAACAAACAAGGAGGTGCAGAATACCCTTATTTTCTCCTCAGATTGAATAAATACAGGTCTACTCTACTCTGAAATGATTTTTATTCAAGCCCACCATGGCACCTGTGTATTTTTAAGTGGAAGACAGACCTTTCGTGGTCCATGGGCGGCTCTGCCTCACTCTGCTCCAGAACAGCTTCTGCTGTGCCGTCACCCTGCACATCTGCAGCTTTGGCAGGAGAGCTGAGGGCAGAGAAAGGGAGAGAAGACAACCTGAACCCACCTGGATGCATGGCTTTCCCAGAACAACTATTGCCCTGCGGAACCACTTTTTTCTAAATAGCAAGTACTTTCTGCTGCTAAAACTGAACTTAAAGGAAGCAAAGGAATTCAAGCTGCAAAACCTGCTCTATCCATGGATAGATGCTTTCTCCCCCACGAGAAGCACCCCTTTCTTCCTCTTTCACTTTACACGGACCCGTGCAAGGGGAGCAGGAGCAAGCGCCCAGTCGGCCGCGGTACCTCGTGCCTGCAGGGCTTCGGCTCTCCCCACTGCCGATGCTGGAGACCGAGTAGGTGCGCGGTGTGCCGGGCTGGGCGCGCAGCCAGTCCTCGCAGGTGGCGCAGCCGTGGCACGCGGGCTCGGCGCAGGGGGCCAGGGCAGCGTGCAGCCGCTCTTCGCAGGTGGGACACACGTGGCAACTTGTCGTGTGGCTGCAGACAAGAAAGACAGGGGGAACCCCTCCTGCTGAGCCCCGAGAGCAGCCGGCGAACACCAAACCCTCCCATGAAGCAGCCGTCGCCTCTTCGGCGAGCGGCGTGTTCATCGCAGAGGCAGAGGTGTTGGCATTTTAGAGTCAAAAACTGCATAAAGATGTGCCGTAGCGGTGTGGTCAGGCACGGCAAGGTTTGTAGCTAGGAATAACACCGCTGAGCTCTGTGGGTATAGTCGGAAGAGTGGCACAAGCTTTTGGGCAGATGAACAAGCAAACCTACCAAAAATAGGAATGCCACGGCACGGGCTGCTTCTCACCATCTGTAATCTTGGGTTGCATCGGTGCATCCCTTCCCTTCACCTCGCCCTTTTGGAAATGCATATTATAAGAGCTGAAGAGAAAGGAGAAAATTCATAGAATAAAAAGCAACTTAGCAACATGGAAAGATAGTACTAACCATGCACGTATATACTGAAGGTAATTACTATCACTCAGAGCTTAAGAGAAAATACCCAGTTATCCTTAGGGAAAGTTATGATTCATGAGGGGCAGCTTAGGCTCACTTACTGCTTTTTCTTGCCTTTCCGTCTTGTGATGATCCCAGCTAGAATTCCCAGGGCTACTAGGAGAACTAACAACAAAGAAGCAAAAAAAAAAAAAAAACAAACCCAAAATAAACAACAAATTTGGTGTGTAATTTAAGTGAAATACTGCAGTTTGGTAAAAGACTGGCAGCAAAATTCTCCGCTCTGGGGCTGCTGTCACCACCCAGAGGCTCCCTCTCAGCCAGAATAATGCAAAACCCCTCCTGGGCCTCGGGACGCAGAGCACAGAAACCACGGCTAAGTGTGGTGCCGTGCTCATTTCTTAAGGGTGGGATCCTCGTTTATTTAGTGCTTTTATAGACAGTCTCCTGTTTCTTTTGCATTTTAAACATACGCACCGGTTTTAGTACTTGATCTCTTTTGCAACAAGGATGTTCCAAGCTTCACTGATCTCTTACCTTTCAGTGTCGGCCAAGGCATTTTAAAGCAACTTTATCAATTAAAGAGTGACAGGGCATACAGTTGGCTTCTTTGTCTGCTTTCATTTCATCCTCAATTGATGTAATGTTTTCTACTAAGACGCAGACAATCCGTCCAGTTGCTTGCAATGCTGCTGCATTACCCAACAGCAGAGAAACCCCTGAATCCTGACCAGAGACACTCAGGACTAGGGGGAGTGAAAGGAGTAAACCAAAACCACCCACTCCAGGAATTTAATAGCAAATAACAGCTTTGGGTTAGGAAAGTATATTTTCAATTTTAAACTACTTACCAATGCAAGCAGGGATGAGGATAGTTGCTAGAGAAGAAAATAATGAAGTTGATGTTAAAAAAATGAAGCCAACAATGCTGATAACTAAACAGGGAAGTTCCTTAATCTATGCCCACAGAACAGTATTACTCAAACCCAGTTAACCTTAACACTGCTGAGAAGACAAAATACTACAAAACAATCTGTCATTCCCTACTACACACATCATTACGCTCTTCTCGAGTCCCTCGCCCCACCGCTCTCCACTGACGGAGCTGAGGTCCATAGCTCCAGGCCACCTCCACCCTCAGCAACGTCCAAATACAGCCAAGATAACACCAGTGCTTTCTACTGAGATGCTCAGCTGCACGGAGGGAGACGCAAGCATGAAAAATCCTACTCCGTAGCATGTCAGCTAAGGAGTCACTCAGCTGGGAGCAGAGAGAAAAGGGGGTCAGACCAGGGAATAAGCCTGTGTGAACCCCTTAGAAACTGGAAGATGGACCCGCCAAAAGAAATGAAGAAGGCAGAGTGAGAGCAGAAATCCCACCGCACGTGGAGTCACAGGCACCCAACATGGGCGCAATTATAGCAATTAAAATGACCCTGAGGCAGAAAGCCTCTCCTGAACTCTTACCCAGCCAGTAAGGATTCTCTGCTGTCTTCTCTTCCAAGGGTTCAGTTTGGTTTGTCGCTGCCGTAGTGCTAACTGTAGAGAGAAAAAAATAAAGGAAAACCACTCAAAATTATATTTTAGACAATTCTCCATTTATACATAATACATAAAATCCTTCAGTGAGGAGTAAATGGAGCGTGGGCAGGTGGCCTCTGACCTGTGCATCTGTGGCTATGACAGCGAGAACAGTGGCAGAGTGACTCAGGGACCTCAGTGACACTACACGCCTTACGGACAGCGGGGCGCCTGCTGTCCCACTTGGCTTTATTGCCCAAGTGTTGTTAGACACTAGATATAAATCCATTCCGAGATTTAGTCCATCAGCTTTGCAGTTACTGATGCACTTAACACATTGTTTATTAAAATTCTGCCTGTTCCTCTTGAAGGGAAAAACATAAAACCGTGTACGACTGTGCTCACGTTGTTCTTCAGCACAGCTTGGCACCTTGCAAAGCACAGACTTGCTAACCATCACCGCTGCACAGGGATGCTGCTCCCTTGGAAACAAACCCCACGGGAACGCCCGTCCAGACTGGGGTCCTTCCCTTTCTGAGAGAAGGGAATTTGGACCAATGAACTGCACAGCAAGAAAAACTACCCAAGAACAGGACGATTATCCAGCAACGCTCACCCCTGCATTCGGGAGGAGACCCGCTCCAGACACCATCGATGCTGTTCTCCGTTGTACAACGAAGAGTTTCATTTCCCACGAGCTGGAGCCCAGGGTCACACGTGTACATCACAACCGAGCTGTACATGAACTCCTTTGTACTGCTGCTGTTGTGCTTCCCATCGGGAATAGCTGGAGGCGGAGGGCAAAAAATAGCTGGGGGAGAAAAAGAAAAGAGTTTGGGAGGTGACCCCTGGGATGCTCTTCCCCATGGTGTGAAGAGAGGAAAACCCAAGGGCTGCTTGCACACAGGCTCGCATTGCACCAGTCGCAGGAGCAGGGGGCCGAAACGGGAGCCCTGGCCACCCTCTCGGCGCACAGTTACTTTGCGGTGCCTCCCAGCCTGCTGTCCTGCGTACACAGGGGCAGCGGCAGCCCGCAGGGACACCAAGGCCACCAGGTTGCTCGTTTAGGTTGGTCTTTCACGTGCAGAAGGCACCAGCGATGCTCCTGGCCAGTCCCTGCTTTCATCGCACCAGCTGGCTCCTTTCCAGAGACGCTCACCTGACTTCATTTAGTAAAATCAACACATGATTCAGTATTTCTGAGTTGGAACATTTGGTATTTCCAGTCAAGCACTGGACAACTTCACTTACCCTGACAAGCTGGAATATGACTCCAGGCAACTTCATCTCCCATTAGGTAACAGTGGATGAGAGGTGACTCTCCCTTTAATGTGTACCTGCGGGGTAAAAGGCACAGCAACAAATCAGTTTGTTGTCACCAACCAAGAACATGTCACCCCAGACAGGTGCCGAGGACTTGACAGGCAGAGCCCCTTGTCCCAGCTCGCACACCAGTGACTCTGGCCAGGAGACTGGGATGCAGTGGGCACCTGTCTTCACACTCACCCCGGGTCACAAACTACATCTGCTTCTGCATTGAGCATATAATTGTTTGTAACAACTTTGCCATGTTCTGGATTTGCTGGAACGCCACAAGATTTCACTAAAAAAGAATAAGATTATCCTTAGGACACTACAAGGATGGGGAAAAAACCCACAGACATGCTTTTCATAACAGTATAGCAACGTCAAACCAGGCATCTGATAGTAGTTCGTGCGAAACGTCATTAAAAAAAAGCAATCCTAAAATACAAATCAGATGCGGCACGCAGAAGACAGCGCCGCGGGTGCGGCCGTGGGAGGATGTTGGAGAAAACGAAACGACATGGAGACACTCACTCTGACATAGCTTGGGAACCTCTGACCACGTCAAATTGTCAAGACAAGTGCTGGTGGGGAGCTGGTCTGTGGTGTTCTCATAGCCTGGGCGACAAACGTACTTCACCGTGATATTAACAGGATAAAAATTCTGCGTTTCATCTTCTTCTGATACTTTAGCAAAATGCACACGCACGGGGCTGGGACAGCTACCTAGCGACAACAAAGACAACCAAAGCGTACAGTTAGAGAGCAAAAATAACAATATTTTTCATTCAACTATGTATAAACATAAATCCAGGTGGTAATGCACAAGCCTCCCTAAGAATGTGGATACCGCAAATATTTTAAGAAGGTGATCGGCAATTTGTGTAATTCAACATCCCTAGATGACTATTTAACGGAAGAAGATTTTAAATGTTAAAATTTGCCCTCTTACAATCATTCACAAGCGCAGTGCCTACCTCCCTCACCAGTTCCACGGCTGAAGCGTTTGAGGCGGGGAAGCGCAGTGGAGGTTTGCAAATCCCCAAAGCCAAACCTTCCCCCTTAGTTAACTCTTGTGTCAGCAGTCAGCTCTGCCAGCGCTTCGCCGCTCTAGTCCTGCCCCTCCTTCCTCTGTTTCCCAGGCCAGCCATCTATTTTTATTAACACACAAGCTCCAGCCCATGGCTCCAACGGACTCAGCAGGGTTAGGAAAAAGGGGCAGTAAGAGATTTTCTGACAAGCAACTGCATCTTGTGTCACTTGGGATGGGGAAACCCTCGAAACAGCAATTGCTAAAGCCGTAAATGTTTGCACAAGCAGCGTGCGTGTCTAAGCAACTCGTTTCAGAGAAAGCGAAATACTTACGACCGCAAAACTCGGGGAGGTTGGACCACTGGGAGTTTCCGAGGCACTGTATCGTATCTAATAGCGTGGGGCGTTTCATATAACCGGTAAGGCATCTGTACGTTACTTTGAAGCCGACTTTGAAGCTTTCCTCGTGTTTAATATCCTCTGGGGGCTCCGCGTGGCTTATATCTGGCAACGGCCCACAGTCACCTGTAGCAAAATAAAGCCGGACTTAGTGGGGCTTCTACTACAGCTCCCCGAGCAGGGCACGGCACAAACGCCCACGCGCATCCGAATCCGCAGGGGAGCGCGGCACACGCACCCACGGCACCCACGACACCCACGGCACCCACGGCACCCACCCACCGCGGAGCACAGGCCCGGGGTGACGGGGCTCAGCGCCCCCCCGCCCTCCATCACCCCATCCCCCCCGTGGGCTCACCCCACGCCGCGGGCGGCAGCAGCAGCAGCAGGGGCCGCAGCGGCCGGGGCGGGGCCGGGCAGGGGG